CACGGTGTTGTTTAACTTTAGATTGGCAGTGGGTTCAGGCTTCTTTGGGAGGGGATTAATCTGTGCTGATATTACATTAGTTTTTGTGCCAAAATTTCGTCATTGTTAGGATCAGGAATGTCCTGGGCACACTCATTTTCTTGGTCTGGCCCAGACCACTTTCTCTTGATTGGCCAAGGACAAATTCTCCAGATAATTGTGCTCAGGCTCCTATAGGGTCAGGGGTTAGCCCAGGCCCACGTCTCTTCTTGCTTTGGGCCCAGGCTTTTTCAGGGTCAGGATTGGCCTGGGCACACTCATTTTCTTGGTCTGGCCCAGGCCTCTTGTTTTGACTGGCCCAGGCATAATTCTCTGGATAATTGTGCCCAGGCTTCTTAAGGGTCAGGGGTTAGCCCAGGCCCACGTCTCTTCTTGCTTTGGGCCCGGGCTATTTCAGGGTCAGGATTGGCCTGGGCACACTCATTTTCTTGGTCTGGCCCAGGCCTCTTCTTTTGACTGGCCCAGGCCAAATTCTCTGGATAATTGTGCCCAGGCTCCTTTAGGGTCAGGGGTTAGCCCAGGCCCACGTCTCTTCTTGCTTTGGGCCCGGGCTTTTTCAGGGTCAGGATTGGCCTGGGCACACTCATTTTATTGGTCTGGCCCAGGCCTCTTTTTTTGACTGGCCCAGGCATAATTCTCTGGATAATTGTGCTCAGGCTTCTTAAGGGTCAGGGGTTAGCCCAGGCCCACATCTTTTCTTGCTTTGGGCCCGGGCTATTTCAGGGTCAGGATTGACCTGGGCACACTCATTTTCTTGGTCTGGCCCAGGCCTCTTCTTTTGACTGGTCCAGGCCAAATTCTTTGGATAATTGTGCTCAGGCTCCTTTAGGGTCAGGGGTTAGCCCAGGCCCATGTCTCTTCTTGCTTTGGGCCCGGGCTTTTTCAGGGTCAGGATTGGCCTGGGCACACTCATTTTCTTGGTCTGGCCCAGGCCTCTTCTTTTGACTGTCCCAGGCCAAATTCTCTGGATAATTGTGCTCAGGCTTCTTAAGGGTTAGGGGTTAGCCCAGGCCCACATCTCTTCTTGCTTTGGGCCTGGGCCATTTCAGCGTCAGGATTGGCCTGAGCACACTCATTTTCTTGGTCTGGCCCAGGCCTCTTGTTTTGACTGGCCCAGGCCAAATTCTCTGGATAATTGTGCTCAGGCTTCTTAAGGGTCAGGGGTTAGCCCAGGCCCACATCTCTTCTTCTTTGGGCCCGGGCTCTTTCAGGGTCAGGATTGGCCTGGGCACACTCATTTTCTTGGTCTGGCCCAGGCCTCTTCTTTTGACTGGCCAAGGCCAAATTCTCTGGATAATTGTGCTCAAGCTTCTTAAGGGTCAGGGGTTAGCCCAGGCCCACATCTCTTCTTGCTTTGGGCCCGGGCTATTTCAGGGTCAGGATTGGCCTGGGCACACTCATTTTCTTGGTCTGGCCCAGGCCTCTTGTTTTGACTGGCCCAGGCATAATTCTCTGGATAATTGTGCTCAGGCTTCTTTAGGGTCAGGGGTTAGCCCAGGCCCACATCTCTTCTTGCTTTGGGCCCGGGCTGTTTCAGGGTCAGGATTGGTGTGGGCACACTCATTTTCTTGGTTTGGCCCTGGCCTCCCTCCTTTGATTGTCCCAGGCCCATGTTTCCTCTCTAATGGGCCTTGGCTTCTTTAGGTAAGGGAATTCCTTGGTTCCCCGTATCTTCTGATTTGGGGTCCAGCCTTTTTCAGGGTCACGGTACCTGGTTTTCATGGCTCTTCCTCCTTCCGGAAAACAATGAAGATGTTCTCCTCTCACACGTGAAAAAAAATGTTGAGTTCCATCTGGCTGTAATTTTGATGAGGGCAGGTCAGCCTGACATCGTAGACCCTTGGAGTAGTGTAGGCAGGGCTTGTGAGGCAGCTCAGCCAGGCATGGCTCCCCCTTCAGCCTCACCCTCTGTGAGTTCATACTTAGTCCTGCGTCTCTTTCTTCGGTAGGCTGAACTATGGCCCTAGACACTGAGGCTTCTCTGTCACATTAAAAACATGAGGCTCTGGCTGGCTGAAGTAAGAGAAAGATGGGGACAGGGGACATCACTGGCTGCAGGAGCTCTCTGGATGTTGGGCATGTCATGGTCTGTTATAAGTGACTGGCTAAAATGTTTCTTGTTTAGCAACAATTAAAGACTAGCACACAGTTCAGGTGCAAGGAGGAGCACACACAGTGTCTTCTTCCTGGAGTGAGGCTGTGATCCACTGTGCACAGTAGGTCCATAAAGTGATATCTTCCTGTGTTTTTAGTTTTACACTGTTTTGCTAACATTCATTTCAGCACAGTCTATTTCAGTCACCAGTCCCTGTTCTGATCCAGCTCTGGCTCCATTTGCTGATGGTTCAATGTTGACCACACAGCCCTGTGCCCTCAGCCCCCCGGGTGTCACACTCCAGATCTGTAGGAGAGAGAGCTGTTGGAGCACTTGAAAAATGTATTCCTTAGTTTTAATTTTATTTATCTATTTTGAGACTGGGTTTCTCTGCATTGCATTGGAGCCTATCCGGGCATTTGCTCTGTAGACCAGGCTGGCCTCGAACTCATAGAGATCCACCTGCATCTGGAGTGCTGGGATTAAAGCTGTGTGCCACCAACGGCCGGCTTTAGTTTCACTTTTATTAGGTGTATTTGTTTCTTCATATATTACTTAAGTATACCAGACATTGGATTCCTTGGAACGGAAGGTTCAGATAGTTGTGCAACACCACGTATGTAGGTACTGAGAACTGAACCTGGATCCTCTGCAACAGGAACAGGTGCTCTCAACCTCTGAGCCATCTCTCTAGCACCATTGGAGATTTTACAGAAGGAAACCACACAGCCTGGTTCACAGCAAGATGGCTGACCACAGAAACTGGAGGCAAAGGAAGAGACAGGCTTAGTGCAGAGCTCGAGTGAGGGGTGCTGGGCACTGATGGGGTGAGGCCTGAGGAGACAGAGAAGGGCTGAGCAGGAGGTGACAGCAGAAAGGGGGGATCCTAATGCAGTGGAGTCCTCCTGTGTGAGGGTGTCTGTCTACAGATCACATGCACACATCTGCAGAACCCTGCAGGGCATCTCACACTCCACACTGAATGCTGGGATGTTTGAATGAGAATGGACACACAGGCTCACAGGTTCAGACACTTCAGCTCCAGGTGATGGAACTGTGTGGGGAGGATCGGGAGGTGTGGCCTTGTTGGAGGAGGTGTGTCACTGGCTGGACATTGAGGTTTTAATAGACTCCCACTGTTCCCAGTGTCTCTGAAGCTTGTGGATCAAGATGTGAGCTCTCAGCTGCTCCAGCCACCATTCCTTTCCTCTGCCACCATGGACTCAAACCCTCTGGAAACTTAAGACCAAGTGAAACAAGTCCCTTTTAAAGTTTGTGGGGGCCATGGTGTCTTATCACAGCCATAGAAGTAACTAAAGCCAGGTGTGGTGACACAAACCTTTAATCCCAGGTCATGGGATTAAAAGACAGGTGTATCTCTGTGAGTTCAAGGCAAGTCTGTCTGGTCTACACAGTAAGTTTCAGGACAGCCACAGTGGAGCGGCAGACCATGTCTGAAAAACAAAACAAAAACACCAGGAGAGACCCAAAGCCCAAAACAATTTGTCCTCTCCACACCCTTCCTCTTCCTTCTCACCAGAAGTCAAACCTGGAACTTCCAGAAGAAAAGTCGCTTCCAGGAACACAATGGCAACAACACTCGGGTCGGGATGTAGGGGAGAGATGATTTCTCTCTAAAGCAGAGGCCCTGGCCTGCAAGCCCCACACAGACTCCCACAGACAACAGGCTCCTGTGTCCACCTGCAGGGGGCGCTCACACTGCCAAGCCTGGTGCTCGGGAATCTCCCCTGTAAATAGAGACTTTGCTCATCACTCAGGATCCAGTCTTCACAGCCTTGTGCTTACACTCAGACTCCAGATGATGGTCTGTGGCTCCATGTGGTTGTGTCTTACACGGATCTTCACTCCATAGTCCTCAGATTGTCTGTGTGCACCTGGGTCATCATCTCAGCACAGTGGAACCCCTTCCCCACTGGGAAGAGACTCCGTGGAGACCGAATACAGCAGGACACTGATCCTGTCCACACTGCACATTTCCCTGTGTCCACACACTTCCATGCTACAGTTGCTTTAGTGAATAAACCCCAGTGAGAGAGGAACTGTAACTAAGTATAAAGCTGAATAATGATGATAGTGTGGTAGAAGTTACATACTCTCTCTCTCTCTCTCTCTCTCTCTCTCTCTCTCTCTCTCTCTGATCTTCACTCACATTGTATGAGCTGAAGTGATGAGAGAGGTGAAAGTCAAAGGCTTCTGGGACCCTGGATCTGGTTTCATCAGGGCTGTGCAGTGTGGACACTGGACAGAGGGTGATTCTCATGGCAGAGGTACACACTGGGGATTCTAGATTTCATCCCTGTTCAGTAGTGTGGAGAAAAATCAAATTTATAATTTTTTCGTTTCTGTGGATTGTGATTGATGTCTCCAAACCCCAGCCACACATAACTGAAGTAGAAAGTGAAAGCAGAGGAGTGTAGAGTGTCCTTCCTGCACGGAGTCACGCATGACACAGTGTGTCAAAAGGGCTTGACCAGAGCTGTAAAAATTGCAGCCACCTCCCACGCAGGCGTCCACAGCAGCCCCATGCAATCACCGGGACTGCGACAGCACTTGTTTCTGTAAACATTCATTTTAACGCTGCCTGTGTTTTACCGCAAACGTCATGCGTTCCATCCTGACCCAAGGAGCGACTCAGGGACCCCGGGACAAAGGCCCTCTGTCCCCAGCACAGGGTCAGACAAAGTTTTGGTACCGGGTAGTGAGGTGCTGGGTGAGGAAGCCGAGCTCTATGGATCCCCTGTCCAGTTTCACTTCTCCAGCTCCTGACCTGTGTCAGCTCCTTCTGCCCTGACACTGATGATGACTCCGCGGTTCTCATCCCATTGGGTATCAAGATCCCGTAGAAACAAACAGCATCGCCATGGCACCGGGTATAAAGTCCACGCTAGAAACTCGCATGTCCAGATCCGAGATGGGGGCGATGGCGCCGCGCACGCTGCTCCTGCTGCTGGCTGCAGCCCTGGCCCGGACCCAGACCCGCGCGGGTGAGTGCATGGTCAGGAGGGAAACGGCGTCTGCGGGGAGGGCGGGGGCGGCACCGGGGAAGCCGCGTCCCCGCATCGCCCGGCCAGACCCTCCCGCCCCTTCCCCTCCCGCGTCCAGAGCCCTGTGCCCCGCTCCCCTCCAGGCCCGCGCGCACCTGCCCGGGGTCCCTGGAGGAGGTCGGGGTCTCAAGGCGCCTGCTCCCAGGCTCGCACTCCATGCGGTATTTCCTCACCATCGTGTCCCGGCCCGGCCTCGGGGAGCCCCGGTTCATGGAAGTAGGCTACGTGGACGACACGGAGTTCGTGCGCTTCGACAGCGACTCAGAGAATCCGATGGTGGAGCCGCGGGCGCCATGGATGGAGCGGGAGGGGCCGAAGTATTGGGACGGGGAGACGCGGAAAGCCAAGGACTCAGAGCAGATTTACCGAGTGAACCTGAGGATCCTGCTTGGCTACTACAACCAGAGCCAGGGCGGTGAGTGACCCCGGGTCGGAGGTCACGACAACCTCGTCTCTACGGGTGGACCAGAGTCTCCCAGGGTCCCAAGTCCAAGGTCCGGGAGGAGGAAGCAGGGACCAGGACCGGGTTTCCCTTTTGTCCTGGAGGGTTCACGGGTGGGCGGGGCTGATCGCGGGACCCCCACCCCCCCAGGCTCTCACACCATTCAGCGTATGTCTGGCTGTCACATGGGGCCGGACGGGCGCCTCCTTCGTGGGTACCTTCAGTATGCCTATGATGGCAAAGACTACCTGACCCTGAACGAGGACCTGAGGACTTGGACAGCGGCCGATGCGGTGGCGCAGATCACCAGGCGCAAGTTCGAGCAGGCTGACGTTGCAGAAAGACACAGGGCCTACCTGGAGGGCATGTGCATGCAGTGGCTCCACAGATACCTGGAGAAGGGGAAGGAGCAGCTGCTGTGCACAGGTGCAAGCGCCCAGGGCGACTCCTCCCCCTGCCCTCGGGCTGGGCTGAGTCCTCAGGAAGAAGAGACCTCAGCTGGGGTCCTGCCCCTGTCTCTGAGGGACACAGTATCCCTGGGGCTCCTGATCCAGCTTGGCAGGGACTGCACTGATCTCCCAGGGCTCAGCCTTCTCCCTGGAAGGTTCCAGGTCTGTCTCAGGAGGGAGGAGAGAAGATGCCCACATCCCCAGCAGTGGCTCCTTCAGTCTGCAGCACTGGGTCAGCCATGGCCTCTCCCAGGCCGGGTTCTCTGCCCACACCCAGTGTCTGAGTGTGTCAGCCTTACACACCAGGACCGGAGTCTCCTTTACCTGATGGGAGAGGAGGACGCCCTGCCCTAGGCTGGTTCCCCAGTTCCTAGAACTTATCAAAGAATACATTCTGCCAGATTCCTATGTGTGAGGTTTCCATCCCTCCCTCACCCAAATTCTATCTCTTCCAGAATGATTATGTGAGCACTTATGGGGTATCCTGAAAAACCTCTAAAATATGTGGGTTTTTAAATTTTGTCCTTCTTTCTTTTTTCAATTGCAATTTTTTTTCAAGACAGGGTTTCTCTGTATTGCTTTGGATGCTGTCCTGGAACTCGCTCTGTAGACCAGTAGAACAGGCTGGCCTCGAACTCACAGAGATCCACATGCCTCTGCCTCCCGAGTGCTGGGATTAAAGGAGTGCACCACCAATGCCCAGCTTTTTTTTCCCTCCCTTTTTATTATCATCTGTATGAGTCTCCACAGGTGTCATGGGGGACTGCTAACTGGATAATTAGACAACTCAGTGTTCCCTTTAAAGGAAAGAGTCCCATGACCTTAGAGAATTTTCTGCCAGAATTAACTATCCAAACCCTCCACTAAGCTCCCTCAGCCCCAACAAGTTTCAGTGTTGCCCCAGTGAATTAGGAGTTGAGCTTCCTCAGAGACAGGGTCTTCTGCAACTGAAGGACTGGAGTGACAGGGAAAATCCACACACCCCTGTGAGCACCGCTGTATCTCAGTGAGTGCTGCACTGGGCTCCACAGCAACTTCCAGGGGTCCTGGGTGACAACACCTTGTATCTTGGCCCCCAGAGACTGGGGTTGGGGAGTCATTTTCTCTGCCCCAGTGTCAGAGGTTCACCCCATTTCTGCCGCACACTTTGGTGATGGCTGTTCACTTGGAAAGACAGCTATGCTGGTTAGCAAGATGGCCACAGGGGTTCTGCCTCCAATGGTGGCAGCAGTAGTTGTTAGAATGCTTTATGTAGCCTGTGCCCCTAATTTCTTATTTTGATATGAATTTAATCAGATATATAAATTAATTATTTTCCATCCCTTCTTCCATTGTTTTCCCACCTAACTTATGCTATAGAACATCACATAAGGAAGACCATGGGACCTGCTGGGTCATGTGATTCCCTCTTAGCTTCTGGGTCCCCCAGGAAAATGTGCAGTTCTGTGATGAGGGGGACCAGCTCCACCTGCAGGTCACTAGTGGGATGACAGTCAGAAGTGTTCAGACACATAGTTCAGTGTCATCATTGACTTAACTTAGTCTAAGCAAATTTCAGTTAATCTTGTTATTGTGGGGTTTCTTAAATCTTCCACACAGATCCCCCAAAGGCACATGTGACCCATCATCCTGGACCTAAAGGTGATGTCACCATGAGGTGCTGGGCCCTGGGCTTCTACCCTGCTGACATCACCCTGACCTGGCAGAGGGAGGAGGAGGAACAGACTCAGGACATGGAGCTGGTGGAGACCAGACCTTCTGGGGATGGAACCTTCCAGAAGTGGGCATCTCTGGTGGTGCCTTCTGGGGAGGAGCAGAAATACACATGCCATGTGCACCATGAGGGGCTGCCTGAGCCCCTCACCCTGAGATGGGGTAAGGAGGGAGTGGGTGCAGAGCTGGGGTCAGGGAAAGATGGAGCCTGTCTGCAGAGCCTGAGCAGAGTCAGGGCTGAGAGCTGGGGTCATGACCCTCACCTTCCCTTCCTGTCCTTCCCTTCGCAGAGCCTCCTCAGTCCACTGTCCCCATCATGCCAGTCATTGTTTGGGTTCTCCTTGGAGTTGTGATCATTGGAGCTGTGATAATTGGAGCTGTGGCTGTTGTGAGGAAGAGGAAGGGAAAAGCAGGTAGGACAGGGCGGGGTCCGAATTCCCTCCCATCCCCATTTAGATGTGTGCTCTGCTCATGGAAACACATCCGCACCCCACAGCTCCTGTCTCTAACCTGGGACTTCTGTAGGTTCTGGAAACTTCCTAGGGTTGGGCTCCTCCCTGATCTCTCATGGCTTTTCTTCTCACAGGTGGAAAAGGAGGGAACTATGCTCCAGCTGCAGGTAAGTGTGGGGAGCAGGATTGTCCCTGAAGCCCGATGGAGTGAACCTGAGTGTTTAGAGGGCCTCTGGAAATCCATAATAGCTTCTCCAGCAAAATCTGCTGGGGGTCCTGTTTTTACCTTCCTATGGATATATATTTTTTAATCCTAGACAGGGACAGTGCCCAGAGCTCTGATGTGTCTCTCCAAGACTGTGAAGGTGACACTCTTGGAAGTCATTTCGGGTTGGGGAGCAAAATGGACATGATTGGGTTTCAGGGACTCTCAGAATCACCTGTAAGTGAGTGGCGGGTTGTTGGGATGCTGGTTTCACAGTGATTGTTCATGACTCTTGTTCTGTAGCGTGAAGACAGCTGCCAGGCATGGATGGAGTGACAGTCACTGTGTTCAGATCTCTCCTGTGACATCTAGGGCCCCTCAGTTCACTCTCAGCAAAGGTGTCTGATGTTCCCTGTGATCCTTTGGACTCAATATGAAGCTCAGCCCAGCCCCGTCCTGCACACCAGGATCCTGTCCCTGCACTGCCTGTGTGCCCTTCCATGGCCAACTTTCCTGTTCCAGTAGACGGGAGGGGACATCTCCATCCTCTCATCTCCATGCTGCCCTGAGCTGCACCTCTGACATCCCCACTGAAAATAAGGATCTTGATTTGAACTTGATTGTTCTCATCCTTGATTGGACAGGTTGATTATCTGTTAAATTAATTATTGAGATACTTAGAGGTTGTGGAAGAAATGAATGGCAGCGTGGAGAACCTCCCAGAATCTGTGTTCAGTGGGCTGTGTGTCTTCTGTGAAAAGATGAGATTGTAGAAGCTGAGTGAGAACAGGGCTGTGCCCAGGTGGAGCTCAGTCCACTGTCGGCTGTGACATGGTCACTCCTCAGCTCTGTCACCTCCTGGCTCTGTTCTCTTCATCACTTAGAACCACATGCTGAGATCTGTGCTCACAGGGACTATAGGATGGTCAGAGCTGAGTCCTGGCCCAGGATTTTGAGCATCCAGGACAGCCAGGACGGGTCAACCTGGGCACTGACCTGACTATACCTCTTTACCCCATATTTGCTCTTTATTGTTGACTTTTTAGTTTGTATGGAGGACTAGGCCCATTTATATTCCTTTAAGTGGACTCTGCTTCCTTATCCCTTGTGCCTCCTGAGTGACAGCATTAAAAGTTGTTTTTCCAGCCGGGTGGTGGTGGCGCACAACTTTAATCCCAGCACTCGGGAGGTAGAGGCAGGCGGATCTCTGTGAGTTTGAGACCAGGCTGGACCGACAGCCTCCAAAACAATACAGAGAAACCCTGTCTTGTAAAACCAAAAAAAAAAGAGTTGTTTTTCCATCCTTATCCCTTCAGGTCCCAACTAGGCCCCTACACACAGGAGGCTGTGGGCTGAGCACATGGACTTCAGTCTCCCGAGCTTCTGCCTCCTTCCGGGCCACGCCCTGGAGGTTCTCTCCTTCTTTCCATCTTTCAGAATCTAACCTGGGGTTATAAGATGGGCAGACAGGAGGAATTCACAGGGTCTCATCTCAGATCTGTGCTCTGCCCAAGGTCCCTTCTCCCTCCCTGGCTCTGGGATTCCTGGTGCTGCCTCTAGTGGTGACTCCAGGATTTACAGACATGATCCAGGGGCTGAAGAGATGGCTTAGAGGTTGAGAGCACCTGCTGCTCTTGCAGAGGAACCAGGATCAGATATCACCACACACATGGTGGCTCACAGCCATCCATAATTCCTCTTCCTTGGCTTCCAATAGCCCTGTACACCAGATAGAAACCTGCTGCAAAGATGGACAGGCAAGAAAAGTCTCGTAGACTAAGATTAATGTATCGTTTAAAAAATAGATCGTGGGAATGCCAAAGATGGAAACTACTTCATCCCCTACTCCAGGTGCTGTCCCCTGCTGCTGCCTCCAGTGGTGACTCCAGGATTTACAGGCTGAGTCTACTTTAGATTTGTGTTTGTTTAAAAGACATGATCCAGGGATTGAAGAGATGCCTCAGGGTTTCAGAGCACTGGCTGCTCTTGCTCAGAACTCATGTACAGACACCAGCACCTACACAGTGACTCACAGCCATCCATAACTCCTGTTCCATAGCATCAAATGCCCCTGTGGACACCAGATAGACACACGATACAAATACATACAGGCAAGAATTCACTCATAGATGTAATTTAATGAATCCGTGTGGGAACATGCAGACAGATGACTGTGATGTGAGAAGTGACTAGGAATGAGTGGACTGACACGTGAACTTACACTTACGACTCACCCGGTCTGCTTCACAAACTCCTTATATATGCCGAAGATTTATCAGCAAAACTCTTATAGGTGAAGGTCTCCCTGCTCCACAGGGACCCAGGCTAAGGAAAATAGACAACTTAGGGTCTGACACTCTGCGTCCAGCATGCCCCTGTGTCCTCTCCTCCTATAGACAAGGCTGGAGACTGTCCAGGCTCAGTCACAGGAGCCCTGACACCTGCTGCCATCCCTGCCTTCCCAGGAAGGGGCTGAGGTCACTGAGCAAGAGAAGAGCACCTCCCTCTGTGTTCCCCAAGGTGGGGAGTCAGAAAGGACAGAGGTGTGGGGTCCCCTCCACTCCTGCCCTCCCACTGCAGTCTGGAATGGTGGTGGCAGATGACACTGCTTCGATTCTCTAATGTCCCCTCATTACTTATTCTCTGTCATATTTGTCCCATTCATCTCATTCACTCACCTAGAAGCCAGATGGATCCTATTGGTCATCACTACCAGTCACAAGACTCCATCCCTGTCGCCCTCCCTTGATGTCACTCTTCAGCTCTGACCAATCACAGGAGGGGTCCAACTCTTTAGAGCAGAGTAGTACCACAGGGACAGTCCTGAGTGCTGTCCCCAAGGTCATTGATGTTCCTAGATGTGGGCCCTAGAGCGTCATAAGCTATCTCTCTCTCTCTCTCTCTCTCTCTCTCTCTCTCTCTCTCTCTCTCTCTCTCTCTGTGGGTCCTCTCTCTCTCTCTCTCTCTCTCTCTCTCTCTCTCTCTCTCTCTCTCTCTCTTTCCCTCCCTCCATCCTTCCAAGAGGGTGAAAGGGTCTTGGAACTGAGGGAAAAAAGATGTAGTTGGAACTCAGTGTGTCCCCTACTCTGAAGTCCATCTCTTCTAACAATGGGGCCTCCCCAAGCAGGATGGGTTCCTGGTGCTCCAATCAGGAGGAGGGGCTGGTACACACCCTCGTCACTCAGCTCCTAGGCTCAGCGACTCTGCAAAGGGAAGTTGTGCCATTTAATTTTAGTCACTTGACACACACCTAGACAAGCTCGAGAAGCTTTAAGGAGAAATTGTCTCCATTCAATGCATAGGCAATTCTGTAGGGCCTTCTTCATTATTGGTGGCTGTGGGTGGCCCAGATCAACGTGGGAGGTCCAGCACTTGCAGGTAGCACTGGGGTGTTGAAGGAACCGGGTTGACCAGCCATGAGGCACAAGGCAGTAGGACATGTTCCTCCATGGCCTCTGCTTCAGTTCCCACCTCCAGGATCCCACCTCAAGGTCCTGCCCTGGATCCGTTCCATGCTGGATGAGATGTGGAAGTGTAAGCAGAAATGAACTCTCTCTTTCCCAAGGAGCTGTTGGTCATGGTGTTTTATCACAGCAGGGACAACTAAGACAGAGGGGCACACAGGCCTCACTCTGACCCCTGCAGGCACCACTCTTAAGTGTATGTAGCTCAACCCCATCCCTCCCTTGCCCTGGACCAGCACCCACAAGGCAGCTCACAGCCCCCTGTAACTCCAGACCCTGGAATCTGATGCCCTCTTCTTACCTCCTCAGGCTGCAGGCCCCATGTGTTTCACATACCTGCATGCAGATAAAACACTCACATGCGCAAAACACAACATACTTATGAAAGCTTAAGGTGTTATCTTATTGTCTTAGCCAAATTGAGTGTCCATGCCTACCTGAAGACATTAAACATGACATCTGAGTGACAGCAGCACACGGCTTTAATCCCAGCACTCGGGGAGGCAGAGGCAGAGGCAGGCCACTCTCTGTGAGTTCCAGGCCAACCTGGTCTGCAAATCCAATTCCCGAACACCAAAGACTACACAGAAAAACCCTGTCTGGAAAAACAAGACAAAACAACGACGACAACAAAAGTAACAGCTCTTGTGTGTGGATGTGAACTTGGACGTTTTTTCTCCTCACGTACTTCAACCAAAATGATGGTTGAAGACAGAAGTGGACAAGAAAACCCATCAGTCTTCTAACAAGATGGTGAAGAAGAGGACGTGGGGAAATGTAACATGTAAAAAGATCCATTCTTCTCACTCTATTGTTTTACTTTGGAAAATAGTGATTTCTGTTTGGACAAGATTAAATAATTATTTAAAAATTACTTTGGAGGGCCTGGAGAGTTAGCTCTGTGGTGCAGAGCACTGATCTTGCAGAGGACCTGGGTTCAGTTTTCAGAACCCACAAATTGGCTCACAACCACCCATGACTCCAGATCCCGGGGCTCTGACTCCTCCTCTGACCTTCAAGGACTCCAGGCATGCTAAATGAACTAAAATATAAATCACAGGAGCTCGAGAGCTGAAAATGGGGACAAGGGGTGCATTTAACCTGCAAGGTCATCTTTCTGCTTTCCTCACCCTACTCCACCCCTCTGCCTGCCACAAGCGTCACCTCAGCAAACTCTCCCCTCAGTGCAGGCAGGGAGCAGGACTGTGCAGGCCCAGCACACTGGGCAGCCAGGGGGAAGAAGGTCTGTCCCCAGTGCTCAGCACTTTTCAGTCTTTGGGGAATCAGTGGCAAGTGTGTCACCCCTGCCACCACATTCCAGGACGCTATCTGCAAGGAGTCCAACAGGCTGGTGTTCTGTGAGGTTTTCAAGTAGAACCAGAGCCTTCTGAGACCTATGGGAGGCCACCTGTACTCTGTATGCTGGTAATGAACATGGAGGATGAACACCTGCCCTGTTACAGAACACAGCAGGGACTCACTATCTTGGGAAAGAGAGGGACACGTTTTGTCCTGCCCATGGCTTCCAGGGCTCCTAGGTCAGCATTACTGAAGGGTGGGAACAGAGGCTGAAGAAAGATCAGGGAGCTTCACTCCCAGGTCTCCCTGAAAGCTGAAATCAAGGTGACAGGACCTGGGGCATGATGAGGAAGCCTTTAACCCCAGCAGCGCTCAGGAGGCAGAGGCAGGTGGATTTCTGTGACTTTGATGTCAGCCTGGTCTACAGAGAGTTCCAGGGCAGCCAGAGCTACACAGAGAAACCCTGTCTTTAAAAAAAAGGAAAAAGAACCAAGAAGCTAAACAAAAGAAAGGAAAAGGGAAAGGACAGGAAAGAAGGGAGGGAGGAAAGGAGGAAGGAAGGAAGGAAGGAAGGAAGACAGGACCAATGCAAAGGTCATGACCACACAGGACTCTCTGACTGCAACTATGTAGGAGACCATCTTGTATCTTGTGTGGGAAGACTCTAGAGTGGCACAGTCCTTGTTCCTGAACCCACTGCTGGGCACTTGGATGTTGGGCGCTGTTGTTAATGTGAGCATCAAGGTCAAGTGGGAGGGGGAGTCATTTGAAGTTCACAGAAGGAGGTCGGTGGAAAACTAAGTCCCACTGACCCCACTTTGGATCCAGGAGCCCAAGGGGTGTCCAGGTGATGCCTGACGCACAACTCACTCCATGAAGCCTGCGTGTGCTGGGCCTGCACAGTGAAGTTACCTCATAAAACAAAAGGGAGCCAGGTGTGATGGTGCACAATTATTTTTCTGGTTTTTCAAGACAGATTTCTTTGTAACTTTGGATCCTGTCCTGGAATTCACTCTGTAGACCAGGATGGTCTCAAAATCACAGAGATCCTCCTATCTCTGCCTTCCAAGTGCTGGGATTAAAAGCATGTACCACAAACACCCGGCATTGGTAGTTCACAATTTAATCCAAGCCCTGGAGAAGCAGAGGCAGGGGCAGATAGGAGTTTGAAACTAGTCCGGTCTACAAAAGGAGTTCAAGGACAGCCAGGGCTACCCATAGAAACCCTGTCTTGGAAATCTACTTGAAATAAAAATAGAATGAAACAAAATCAGAAAGAAACAATGTATCATGGGGAAACTCCTGGATGCTGCTTCATCAGAGCTGGAGGCCAAGCTAGGGACTCAGACTTGGAAAGTGTGTCTAGAGGAAGCAATAGAGGAAGAGAGAGGACACAGGACACAAGTTCATTGTATGCATGTGTAACAAGGTCACACCGACACAAGACTTTGCACACTGTGCCAATAAGAGCAAATATGCTGAGTCAGCAGACCCTCAGGCTGATGAACTGCACTCTCAAGTCTCAGGTTGTCCTGAGTATCAGGGGTGTTTTCTCTCAGCACCTGGCTCTCCCCAGACCACAGGCTCAGGGTAATTTTCTCTATGATAATGGTCTTTATCAAGTTGTCCTGTAAAGTGATACACTCTGAAGTGAGCTCCCACCCACCCTTCCCATCTGCTGTGCCAGGCTTCCCGTGCTTTGGGTCTGAGGGAATCTACTCTGCACGTGCTCACATCCAGACCCACACTGGACAGAAACATTCTGGAGGTCACAGGGCCAGAAAGCCTGCTATAGACTCAGTTGTTTCCCAGCCAACAGTAACCTCACCAGCGTCTTCAGACAAGGGAAGTTTTGGTGCATCCAAGGCTCTGGACCTTCATCAGCTGGGAGGAACACCCGGTAGAGGATGATGAGTGTTTATAAGATTTTTACAGGAGCTGCACTGTGCAGCCAAGGCTTTCCTAGAACTTGGTTTTCTCCCTTCTTACAGTGACACCCTCCACACCATGGGAACTCTGCTCATGGGGAATTTGATTTTCCTGATTTAAACATTTGGTAGTTTAGTTTAGGGGACAGGACTGTGACTTTGGGGATTTTGTGATTTGGAGAGCTTGATCTTAAGAAATTTAAATATTTGAGTCTCTGGTGTTAAGGAGGGGGACTCAGGATTGTGAGTGTAGCATCCCACACAATGCTCGCCCAGCCTGGGGCTCTGCTTGCAGACACTTTATTGTAAAGCACATGAGAGGAGGCAGGACAGACTCGTGACCCCAACAGTGGTGGGGATGGGTCTTGGGTCACAGCAGTCAGAGAATGGAGGGATAGATGTTCACTGAGGACAGTTCTCCAGGAAGACAGTTGGTTCTCTTCCCCCCATCACATCCCAGTGTTTCCTCTACTTTTCCTGGGTCATTGTAACAGTCAGGATTCTCCTGTGTAATAGAACTGATAGACTGAATCTATCTAGCTATGTATCTATCTATGCATCTATGTATCTATCTATAGAAAGGGAGTTTATTAGAATGAATCACAGGCTGTGGTACAGCTAACCCAACAATGTCTGACTATAAATAAAAAGTCCAAAAACCAAGTAGTTGCTCAGTCAGCCCACCAGGCTGGATGTCTCAGCTGGTCCTCAGTATATGCTGGATGCTGAAGAAGTCGGCTCTACTGCCAGGGAAGGATTGGACCTGCTAGTGAGGTGAGGTCTAGGAGGCAGAGAGCAAAAGCTTCCTTCTTCCACATCCTTGCATTGCCTCCCAGCAGGTGTGACCTAGACTAGAAGTGGGTTTTTCTAGCTCAAAAGATCTGGAATAACGGTATGTCTTCCTACCTCAAAGTCACAGATCAGAAATTGACCTTCTGCCTTCAAATTAAGTAAACGTCCCTTACAGGGGTGTCCTCCATTTTTCAGTTTTGTTAATTTCAGATGTGCTGAGGTTGACAACCAAGAATACATGTCACAGTCTGTTTCAGAGTTCTGGACACTTCCCTGGTTCCAAGCTTTTCGACTCCTTTTGGCCCTCGTGGCTCTGCCTCCTCCCCAACCTCTTACAAAGTGTTTTTATCTCACAGGTGGAAATGGATGGGAAGTTCCATCAGGCTGTAAGTTTGACAAGGGCAGGACAGCCTCAGACCCAAGACCCTTGGATGTGTATAGACAGGAGCCTGTGGGCAGCTCAGCCAGCCATGGTCCCCCTTTAGCTGTATCCTATGTGGACTCAGATCAGTCTTGATTTTTGTCCCTAGGTGGGGCTCTTGCCCTAGACTCTAATATGCTTCTCTTTGATTTTAAAAAGGAGAGATCCTCAGCTGGGCATTGGTGGCCCACGCCTTTAATCCCAGCACTCGGGAGGCAGAGGCAGGTGAATCCCTGTGAGTTCAAGATCAGTCTGATCTACTGAACAGGTTCCAGGACAGGCTACAGAACAATACAGAGAAACCCTGCCTCGAAAAAGCCAAAAAAAAAAAAGGAGAGATCCTGGAGGGGCTGCAGTGGGAGGGAAAATGAGGACGGGCCATCACTAGCTCCAGGAGCTTTCTGAATGTTGGGGATGTCATGATCTCTTCAGTTACCCTTCAAGTGTTGACTGGAGTTTGTCATGTTCAGCAACGATTAAAAACCATCACAAGCCGGGCATTGGTGGCACACACCTTTAGTCTCAGGACTTGGGAGACAGAGGCAGGGGGATCTCTGTGAGTTTTAGACCAGCCTGGTCTACAAGAGCCAGTTCCAGAACAGTCTCTAAAGCCACAGAGAAACCCTGTCTTGAAGAAAAAAAAACCCAATGTGAAAGTGCAAAGATGAGCACACACTGTGTCTTCTTTCTGGAGTGAGACAGGGATCCACTGTGCACAGTAGGACAATAAAATGAAATCTTCCTGTGTTTTTTTGTTGTTGTTGTTAGGTTTTTTGTTTTGTTTTGTTTTGTTTTTCGAGACAGGGTTTCTCTGTATTGTTTTGGAGCCTGTCCTGGAACTCACTCAGTAAACCAGGCTGGTCTCGAACTCACAGTGATCTGCCTGTATCTGCCTCCCGAGTGCTGGGATTAAAGGCGTGCGCCACCAACGCCTGGCTGTGTTTTTAATTTTACACTGTTTTGCTAATGTTAATTTCAGTGCAGTGTCTTTAAGTCATCAGTGCCTGTCCTGTTCCAGCTCTTCCTTCTCTTAGTGGTGACTCAGTGTTAACTAAACAGCCCTATGCCCTCAGTCTGGGTGTCACACTCTAGATGTGTAGGAGAGGAGAGGGAGCCATTGGAGCACTTTTCGCAGTGTTTTTAATTTTATTTTTATTAGATGTATGTATTTTATTAGATTATGCATACATGTGTGTATATATGTAGGTATGCAGGTACACCAGGCACTGGATCACCCGGAACTGCAGTCCCAGATGGCTGTAAAGCACCATGTTGTTGATAGGAACTGAACACGAATTCTCTGGGACAGAACAGGTGCTTATCACCTGTGAGCCATCTGTCCAGTCCCTGTAGGAATTTAACAGAAGGAAACAGCACAGCCTGACTCAGAGCAAGACAGCTGACAAGATGGCTGACCACAGAAACTGGAGGCAAAGGAAGAGGCAGGATTAGTGCAGAGCTCGAGTGAGGGGTGCTGGGCACTGATGGGGTGAGGCCTGAGGGACAGAGAAGGGCTGAGCAGGAGGTGGCAGAAGAAAGGGGGGATCCTAACACAGTGGAGTCCTCCTGGTTGAGGGTGTTTGTCTAGAGATCACATGTACACATCTGCAGAACCCTGCAGGGCATCTCACACTCACACTGCATGCTGGGATGTTTGAATGAGAATGGACACACAGGCTCACAGGTTCAGACACTTCAGCTCCAGGTGATGGAACTGTGTGGGGAGGATCAGGAGGTGTGGCCTTGTTGGAGGAGGTGTGTCACTGGGGCTGGGCATTGAGGTTTTAATAGACTCCCACCATTCCCAGTGTCTCTGAAGCTTGCAGATCAAGATGTGAGCTCTCAGCTGCTCCAGCCACCATTCCTTTCCTCTGCCACCATGGACTCAAACCCTCTGGAAACTTAAGACCAAGTGAAACATGTTCCTTTTAAAGTTTGTGGGGGTCATGGTGTCTTATCACAGCCATAGAAATAACTAAAGACAGGTGTGGTGACACAAACCTTTAATCCCAGGTCATGGGATTAAAAGACAGGTGTATCTCTGTGAGGTCAAGGCAAGTCTGTCTGGTCTACACAGTAAGTTTCAGGACAGCCACAGTGGTGCGGCAGACCATGCCTGAAAAACAAAACAAAAACACCAGGAGAGACTCAAAGCCCAAAACAATTTGTCCTCTCCTCACCCTTCCTCTTCCTTCTCACCAGATGTCAAACCTGGAACTTCCAGAAGAAAAGTCGATTCCAGGAACACAATAGCAACAACACTAGGGTCGGGATACAAGGGAGAGATGATTTCTCTCTAAAGCAGAGGCCCTGGCCTGCAAGCACCACACAGACTCCCACAGACACCAGGATCCTGTGTCCACCTGCAGGGGGCGCTCACACTGCCAAGCCTGGTGCTCGGGAATCTCCCCTGTAAATAGAAACTTTGCTCATCACTCAGGATCCAGTCTTCACAGCCTTGTGCTTACACTCAGACTCCTAGTGTTTCTTCCCAGATGACCGTCTGTGGTTCCAGGTGGTTGTGTTTTACACGGATCTTCACTCCATAGTCCTCAGATTGTCTGTGTGGACCTGGGTCATCGTCTCAGCACAGTGGAACCCCTTCCCCACTGGGACAAAGATCTGGTGGAGACAGAATACAGTATCACAGCGATCCCTGTCTGCACTGCACATTTCCCCGTGTCCACACACTTCCAGGGTACTTCCATGGTTATTTAGTGAATAAACCCCAGTAAGAGAGAAACTGTAACTAAATGTAACTATCCAGACTTATGAGACCCTGGACCTGGTAACCGTGGCTCCTGGGTTCCTCAGCCTGTGCAGTGTGGACACTGGACGGAGGGTGATTCTCATGGCAGAGGTACACACTGGGGATTCTAGGTTTCATCACTGTTCAGTAGTGTGGAGACAAATCTAATTTTGACTTTTTTCGTTTCTGTGGATTGTGATTGATGTCTCCAAACCCCAGCCACACATAACTGAAAAAAAAGTGAAAGCAGAGGAGGGTAGAGAGTCCTTCCTGCACGGAGTCACACATGACACAGTGTGTCCAAAGGGCTTGACCAGAGCTGTGAAAACTCCAGTCACCTCCCTTGCAGGTGTCCATGGAGGCCCCAAGCACTCACCAGGACTGTGACAGAGTCTGTTTTCGTGAACGTTCATTTTAATGCTGCCTGTGTTTCACCCGCAAACGTCATGCTCTTAGGTTTCATCCTGACCCGAGGAGCAGGTGGCCTTGGGCGGCCCAGAGACCCCGGGACAAACGCGCTCTGTCCGCAGCTCAGGGTCAGACAAAGTCTTGGTGAGGTCCGGGTGGAGAAGCCCAGCTCTGGGGATTCCATGTCCCCAGTTTCACTTCTCCAGCTCCTGACCTGTGTTAGCTCCTTCTGCCCGGACACTGATGACGACTCGGCGTTTCTCACCCCCATTGGCTGTCGACATCCCGGGGAACCAATCAGCGTAAATTGTCCGCGCGGGGAACGCGAATGCCCAGATCCGAGATGTGGGCGACTGTGCCGCGCATGCTGCTCCTGCTGCTGGCAGCCGCCCTGGCCCCGACCCAGACATGCACGGGTGAGTGAGGGGTCGGGAGGGAAACGGCGTCTGCGGGGAGGGCGGGGGCGGCACCGGGGAAGCCGTGGCCCCGCATCTCCCGGCCAGACCCTCCCGCCCCTTCCCCTCCCGCGTCCCGAGCCCCGCGCCCAGCTCCCCTCCTGGCCGCGCACCTGCCCGGGGTCCCGGAAGGAGGTCGGGGTCTCACCAGGCGCCGCCCCCAGGCTCGCACTCCATGCGGTATTTCATCACCATCGCGTCCCGGCCCGGCCTCGGGGATCCCAGGTTCATTGTGGTCGGCTACGTGGACGACACGGAGTTCGTGCGCTTCGACAGCGACGCCGAGGATCCGAGGATGGAGCCGCGGGCGCCGTGGATGCAGCGGGAGGGGCCGGATTATTGGGAGAGGGAGACTCGGATCATAAAACACACTGAGCAGATTTACCGAGGGAACCTGAGGGCTGCGCTTGGCTTCTACAACCAGAGCGAGGGCGGTGAGTGGCCCCGGGTCAGGGATCAACACTCCTCCACGTCCCTATATGTACCAGCCAGAGTCGCCCTGTGTCTCAAGCCCGAGGTTCTTCCAAAAACGTGCACCCGCAAAGACTCTATGGCAGGGACAGGGACCAACATTCTCTGTCAGTAAAGAGAATTCCAAGTGTGAGCATGGCCTCAGGAGCGGGCGGGCAGGGCTGAGGGGAGGGATGGATGGGCGGAGCTTACCACGGGATCCCCGCAGGCTCTCACACCATCCAGAATATGTATGGCTGTCAAACGGGGCCAGATGGGCGCCTCGTCCGCGGGTACAGTCAGTTCGCCTACGAAGGCGAAAATTACATCTCCCTGAATGACGACCTGAGGACGTGGACGGCGGCGGACATAGCAGCGCAGATCACCAAGCACAAGTGGGAGCAGGCTGGTTTTGCAGAGCAATGGAGGAATTACCTGGAGGGCGCATGCATGCAGTGGCTCCGCAGATACCTGGAGAATGGGAAGGAGCAGCTGCTGTGCACAGGTGCAGGCTCCCAGGGCACTCCGCCCCCTGCCCTCGGGGGCATGTTTCAAAATTCAGTACCTGTGGTCAGTCCTTCCTTGTCCCCAATATTTATCCTTTCTTGTTGTCTTTTGGTCATGTTACACTGTACACATATGTACACTTACTCACATATATTGTTGGCTACATCTGAGGAAAAACAACGTAGTTTTGCATTCTGAGACTTGTGACCTCACTTAATGTACTGCATGCTAAGTTCATGCATTTTCCTGTGTATTTTGTGATTACACTGTTTAGAGCCGAGTAGTATTCCATTTTACATGTGTACCAAATTTCCACTATCTACACAACTGCTGATGGATTAAATCCATTTTTAGTGAATAAATGAACAATAAACATGTGCTGCAAATATCTCACCAGTAGGATGTGGACTTCGGGCAAGGAATAATATAGCTGGGTCATATGGGAGTGCTGTGATTAATTTTTTAAGAAAATATCGAAAATGATTCCACAATGACTGTATTAATTTGCACACACACACACACACGGAGAGAGTGAGACAGAGACAGAGAAAAAGAGAGAGACAGAGACAGAGAGAGACAAAGACAGAGAGAGAGAGAGAGAGAGAGAGACAGAGAGACAGAGAGAGAGACAGAGAGAGAGAGACAGAGAGAGAGAGACAGAGAGAGGAGTGAGTATGGCTCCTTTCTCTCCATGTCCTCTCCAGCATTTGCTGTCAGATTACATTTCTTGGTCATAGCCATTTTGACTGGGGTGAGGTGCATTCACAAAGCAGTTTTAACTTTCATTTTATTTCATCCTTTTGTGGGGATGAATGTTTTGCCTGCACGTGTGCATCAGCACCAAACTTGTACCTGGTGTCTGGGGTCAGAGAGGTTATGCAATTTCCTGGGCCTGGAGCCACACACAGTGCATTTAACCAGGTCCTCTGCAAGAGCATCAAGTGCTCCTCACCTCTGAGTCAACTCTCCAGCCTTCAAAGTAGCTGAATCTGCATTTTCATGAAGGCTAGAGATACTGAAAACACTAAACATATTAGTGGACATTTCTGCTTTTTCTTTTGTTAAGACAACTGTCTATTCAGTTCTGTCGACCATTGGATGATTCACAATGTTAGATCCTTGGTGTTTAGTTTCTGCACTTCTCTGAAAACTGAGGGCTCTAGTCCCTTGTCTGAAGCTCAGCTGGTAGAGGTTTCTCCTACTGTGACGTCTGTCCCCTCTGCTGATTGTGTCCTGTGCTGTCAAGAGACTTTATCTTCATGCTGATGCATGGCCCAATGAGCTCCTGTAGTATTGTCCTATTCTGCGTTTCTGACCTACCCACTAGGAAGTCGTCTTGAACTCTGGGTGTTTCAAGTCTTGAACTTAAAAAGGTCTTTGCTGTCTTCAAGTTTATTTTTGTACAAGGTGAAAGGTGAGAATCTAAGTTTATCTTCTCAGGTTAAAAAAAGACAGTGTTGCTGCATCATGTGTAGAATGGACTCTTTGTCCAATATGTGTTTTGTATTCTTTGTTGAAACTCAAATACACACAGCTTTGTCATTGTATTTCAGGATTTCTACTCTATGCCTTTGATTTTCCTTCTATTTTATGCCAGTTCCAGGCAGTCTTTGTCACTCTGGCTCCACAGGATAATTTGAGGTTGGGAGTGTAACCCCCAACAGTGTTCTTTTATTTGTTTTGTTTTGCAAAACAGGTTTTCTCTGGCCTGGAACTCTCAGAGATGCACTTGTCTCTGCCATACAAACCCTGGGATTAAAGGAATGCTCCACCACTGCCCAGCCTCCAGCAGAGTTCTTAATCCTTAGGACTGTTGCCTGTTCATGGTCTTTTGTCATTCTCTACAAGTGCTTTTGTTTTTTTCTAAAGCTATGGAATATATCAGACTTTTGTAAGTAGTGCAGATTATACCTATAGATTAATTTGGGTGGTATGACAATTTCATAGTATTAATTCTGTCAGTCCATGCGCATGGATTGTCTTTCCATCTTCTAACATTGTCTTCTATGATTTCCTGTGTCAGATCTTGAAGTTTTCCTTGTAGAATTTGTCCATTTCTTTGGTGATATGTATCCTTAAACACTTAATTCTGGTGACGTTGCTTTCATTGTTGTACATTTCCTAATTTCTTTTACTGAAAAGACACTGCTTGCACAAATGAAGGCTGCTTTTTAATGGTGATTTGTGTATCTGGAAACTATGAGTGTTTATTATGACCAAGAGTTTTCCTGTGGACTCAACAGGGTCATTTAAGTAAAGAATCATGCTTTCTAGAAATAGGAACAGTGTGACTTCTTCCTTTGCTACTTTGATTGCTTTTTTGCCAATCTTCTGTCTACTTCTGATAGCTTATATAAAATCATCACTGTGTTAAATACGATGGTGGAGAGTGTGCACCTTTGTTTCCTTCCTGACTTCAGAGGAAGCTCTGTGTGTTTCTCTTTTTGACATAATATCCACCTGTCTCCCTATCTCTAAAACGGGAGGTGGGAAGTTCTATAGTGTCTCCTGACCGTTTATGAGAGACTGGCTCTCCCAGGGCTCAGCCTTCTGTCAGGACAGTTCAGAGTGTGTCTCAGGAGGGAAGGAGAGGAGGTCCCTGAAATTACCAAGACAGTTAACCTTCAGTCTGCAGTGCTGTGTGAGCCATAGCCTTGCTCAGGCCCAGTTCTCTGCTCACAACTGAGGTCTCTGGGGTCTGAATTCGGTGATGCTGAATCCATCAGCCCCACTCACCAGTCAGGAGCAGAAGTCCCTTCTTCCTGATGTGACACCAGAGTTCTGTGACCCTGGGCTCTCTTACCCATATGTAGAATTTCCCAAAGAAAGCATTATCCAGAACCCAGTGTTTAAGCTAGAGAGGATTTTTCACCTCTCCCTCAACCTATTTCTGACCCAGACCAGGATAGTTCACAGGGACCCTGCTGGAGTCCCCTGCAAAACACCTGAACTTTCCAACTCTTCTCCTCAGACCCTCCAAAGACACATGTGACCCATCACCCCAGACCTGAAGGTAAGGTCACCCTGAGGTGCTGGGCCCTGGGATTCTACCCTGCTGACATCACCCTGACCTGGAAGAAAGATGAGGAGGAACTGACCCAGGACATGGAGATGGTGGAGACCAGACCTGCAGGGGATGGAACCTTCCAGAAGTGGGCAGCTGTGGTGGTGCCTATTGGAGAGGAGCAGAGATACACATGCCATGTGGAGCATGAGGGGCTGCCTGAGCCCTTCACCCTGAGATGGGGTAAGGAGGGAGTGGGTGCTGGGGTCAGGGAAAGTTGAAGCCTTCTGCAGAGCCTGAGCAGGGTCAGGGCTGAGAGCTGGGATCATGACCCTCACCTTCCCTCTCTGTCTTTCCCTTCCCAGAGCCTCTTCAGTCCACTGTCCCCAGCATGGCAGTCGTTCCTATTCTGGTTCTCCTTGGAGCTATGACCATCATTAGAGCTGTGGTAGCTGTTGTGAGGAAGAGGAGGAGAAACACAGGTAGGAAAGGGCAGGGTGTGAGTTCTCTCTCAGCCCCTTTTAGCAGTGTGCTCTGGTCATGGAAACACATCCACACCCCCATTGCACCTGTCCCTCTAACCTGGGTCTGCCCTAAGTTTTGAAAAATTCCTAGGGTCAGGGTCCTCCCTGGTCTCTCACAGCTTTTCTTCTCACAGGTGGACAAGGAGGGGACTATGCTCCAGATCTAGGTAAGTGTGGGGAGCAGTATTGTCCCTGAAGCCTGTGGGGTAAACCTGGTGGGGAGCCTGACCAGCCCATAATTCCTCCTGCAGCCACATCCTCTTAGTAACCTAAATGTGCCTTGTCATTTCTTCTGCTGCAGAAAGGGACAGTGCCCAGAGCTCTGACTTGTCTCTGGAGGCTTGAAAATGAGACACCCTGGGGGCCTGAGATTGGGGCTGAGGGAAAAAGGAAAGGGCTGTGTCCCAGGACGTCTCAGAATTGAGACATTTGAATGAGTCTCAGTGGACCTTGGAGATGTCTTTATACTGACTGTCCATCACTCTTTGTCTTTAGCTTCAGACAGGTGCCACCTGGGAACACGTTCTCACTCACTCAAGAAACAACAAATGTCTGAAGCTGTCTACTTCTATGAAGAGCATCCAGCCCAGTCCAGTCCACCAGGACCCTACCCCAGCTCTGCTCCTGCTCCTGCTCCCTTCCACAGCCAACCTTCCTGGTACTGCAAAGGCAGGAGGGGACATCTCCGTCCTGTCATCTCCCTGCTGCCATGAGATGCAGCCCTTGGTTTTCTCACTGAAAATAAAAATCTGGATGTGAACTTAATACTTCATGTCCTTGACCTGAGAGATTGGCAGTTCAAATAAAAGGTGAGAATTCTGAATGTGTGATGGAGAAAATAAATGGCAGCATGGAGAACCTTCTAGAATCTGTGTCTGCTGTGCTCAGTGTCAACAGGGAAAGGAGGAGTCTGTGGGAGCTGAGTGAGGATGGGGCTGGGCCAGGTGGAGCTCGGTCCATGTGGGTTGGGTGTGGTCACCCCTCAGCTATGTCCTCCATGGCTCCTTTGTCCTTGTCACTTAGTATAACCACATGCTGTCAGACTCTGATCACAGGAATACAAGCATGTCTGTCCCCAGCCCTGTCCTGTGTCCAGGATTGTGAGCAGCCATGCCAGCCTTGACTCAGTCGTAGCTGTGGCTCTTTAACCAAGCTCCCTGTTTATGTCTTGTCTTCTTGGTTTGAATGGGGGAGCAGCCCTGTTGTCATTCCTGTGGAGTGTGACCACAGCAGGAGTTGTTTTTTCCTGTCCCTGTGCTAACAAGGACCCTGTACTCAGGATGTGACCCTCAGTCCCCTGAGCTCTGCCTCCTTCCAGAGCTGTTGCCTGGAGGTTCTGCCCCTCTCCCAATCTTTCAGAATCTAACCCTTGTGTGTGGGATCTGCAGAAAGGTCTGGTCCACAGGGTCTCATCTTGGATCAGGTCCTGTTGGGAGTGTGTTCTGCTCAGCTCCACTTCCTGTACCTCCCTGGCTCTGGGACTCCTGGTGCAGCTTCTGATGGTAACTCTAGAACTCATAAGGCAGAGTCTACTAATGTCGGTACCTAGGAAATGGATCAGGACCACAGGGATTTTAGTTATATTGGGATCATCAGGCTAAGCCTTTTGGATGTGTGTGTGTGTATGAGAGACAGAGACAGAGACAGAGACCGAGAGGCAGAGAGAGAGAGAGAGAGAGAGAGAGAGAGAGAGAGAGAGAGAGAGAGAGAGAGAGAGAGAGAGAGAGAGGGAGAGAAGAGAGTCTGGGCAGTGGTAGTGAACATCTTTAATCCCAGCACTCCAGAGATAGAGGCAGGCAAATCACTGAGATTCTGCATGGCCTGGTCCAGGACAATCAGGGCTACATATAGAAACCCTGTCTTGGAAAACAAAATTTTAAAAGTTAAGAAATGTTGAATGCTTCCTCACAGGAAGATCAGTTGATTTCAAACAAAAGAGACATAATTAGCAGTATATGGCCTATTCATGGTGTCCATTTTAAATTCTTTTTTTCAAGACAGGGTTTCCCTGTGCAGCCGTGGCTTCCTTAAACTCACTCTGTAGACTAAGCTGGTCTCAGACTCAATAGGATCCACCTCTCTCTCTCTCTCTCTCTCTCTCTCTCTCTCTCTCTCTCTCTCTCTCTCTCTCTCTCTCTCCATCTCTCCTGATTCACTTCTGGATGCCACTTCATGGTGTCATGGTGACACACTCCTTTAATCCCAGCACTTGGGAGCCAGAGGCAGGAGGATCTCTGTGAGTTTCAGAACAGCATGGCTGTGTAGAGAGAGACCCTGTCTCAAACAATAAACCAAACAAGACTTCACTCTGGACAGATCTTACTATAGAGGGAGAACATCTCTCAATGGGGAGTCACTGGAATCCGGGATGTTTGAATAGGACTCAACTGTGAGGTGGCCACACTTGCCCCACCACAAGGTGACCTAAAATAATTGTCTACCACAGGGACTCAGGGTCTCAGTGACAGTATGAATTCACACATGGGGACTGCCAGCCTGTGCAGGGACTCCAGGCATCAGGTAAGAGAGGACAGACACTATATCCCCTCATCCTAAGTGGATTCATTGAAAAAATAAATAGACCCAACAAATTAACAGCCCTGTGGGTAGTGAGCCCTACACAGCTTCCTGAAGTGCCTGTGGTGTCTTAGAACCCCCAGAATGAAAGTCCCATCTTTGTATTAATGTACACATTTATCCTGCATGTAAGAGTCGTTTAATCTAGGGGTCTTTTATCCAAAATGATCCACACTGGATATACTGAAAGACTGTGGGAGCACACTGATCCCCATGCTTTTACACACACACACACACACACACACACACACACACACACACACACACACGCCAGCCAAGGACAAATTTCCAGTGGACTGGGGACTAGGAAGACAACGGGTAAAGGACAGTCAGTGGGAAGGAGGGAGGAAGCCTGTAACTGTGAAGCTACAGGGTGGAGTCAGCAACCAGAGCAACTGTGCCTGTGTCTCCATTCAGGAACAGGGGTGCTCCAGGGCTGGGTACCTGGGCAGGGACTTGGGACATGGGGAAACAAAACAAAAACTTCACTCAAGAAAAGACTTTGTCACAATCAACAGAGGAACATCTTCTAAATCTGGATACATCAGTGTTGGGGCTCTAAGGACTGAGGTTCCCAGTGGACCAAGGAGAGAATTAGACTTCACAGAGGGCTCTACACAGCCTGTGAAGCCTGGAGCACAGCAGCAGGGCTCAGGGAAGGTGTCACCTCAAGGGCTGCAAAGCAGAAGCATCAGCCATGCTCTCCTGCAATGACCTCACACTCACACTCTCCTGTGTCTGTGTCAGCCTTCACCTACTATGCTGGCCACACAGCAGGCACCCCAGGTCTCATCACAGCATGGAGGTCCACAGTGTGAGCCTTCATCCTCTATGCCAGCCACACTCCAGGCTCCCCAGGTCTAATCACAGCATGGAGGTCCCCAGTGTCAGTTGTCACCCATAGCTACAACAGATGTCGAATCTGCAACCCCAACACACACATTGTTCGTTCCTGTCTTCTCCTTTTCCTGCAGCATCTTGTGGTCCTCAGGGCAAGCATCCGGCTGGGCCCAGAGATGCAGTGACTCTGTGCTGAGGTCTTCCTCTCACACCACCACTTGACAATGTCTCTTCAGCCTGGACACCCCAGTCTTCACAGTGGGGCTCTCCAGATAGCATCAGAGTAGAAGGCTCAGCTGATGTTATGAGCTAAGTGATATAGGAGCTCATATTCCCTAAATAAGAATCCTTCCACACACTGCTACCCCTCCTTCCTTTTTAAAGAGAGTGTTCACTTTACATCTTTTCCCTTGGGGAGAAATAGATTGACTTTTGCACTGATATTAACTGTAAAATACAGACTTATCTTCTGCTCATAAAAATGGAGATGAAAGTTTCTGGTCCCTCTCATTTTAATTGTCCTGTAGGGACATTGCTGTTTGCAATGAGGTCTTTGCCAATTAAATTATTGGTGATGTAAGTGATCAGTAGACATTCTGTGGAACCAAGGTGCTTGGTTATAAGGAATCCCGCACAGTTGGTTCATAGCCTGTTCTTTTTCTTTGTGTTTGTTTGTTTAAGACCAGGTTTCTCTGTGTAGTCCTGACTGTCCTGGAACTCAGTCTGTAGGCCAGGCTGACCTGAACTCACAGAGATTCACCTGCCTCTACCTCCTGATTGTTGGGATTACAGGTGCATACCCCCACCACACAGCTGTTTGGAGATGCTGTTTATCAGCTACACCTGCCATTAAGAAAAAAAGACTATTTTCATCTTTCTATCTTTTCTTGCCTTTATGCAAGGCCTTGTTCATTTGTAAAGAACAATATGTAACAAATGATAACTTGATTTTTAAACTCAAAATTCATTTAGTAACAATGTACCTTTTATAATGTAATTGGAGTAAAATACTTGCATTTAAACAAAGTATCATTCATGTAAAAGTCATATTATAGCATGTAAAATATAATTAGAAAATTCATGGTTCCCAACAGCATAGTATCTGCTGAGAGCTTGAGAACATGATTATAGGTTTACAGAGGACAGATCAGAATTCACAACGTACATGATGACCCTCTGTTATACAGTGAAACCTTGTTTCAGGGAAAAAATTATCCAAATTGGTGTGCTGCTTTTATAGTGGAATTCTAAAAGTTCTCTTTTTTATAAAACATAATCATAATTGTTGCATTTAATGTTATTTTTGAAAACCCACATCATCAAATTCCTTACTGTTGCACCAAGTAATGTCAGTTCAAACTATAGAATATGTATATCAACACCAGCTAGAAACAGAACTGAGGACAGTATAAAGCCCTACAACACTTTGTCTAATTCATGTCAATTGATTACGGAGAACTGAAACTTTTTTCCCCAAATGCAGATTAGTATGCCACAATGGACAAGAAACACTACTAGAATTCTGTTGTAATTTTGCACCCTGGATAGATAGCAGAGAGTACTTTCATGCCATAACATTATTTAGCTGGAAGTACTGGGTTGAGAGATATGGGTCTGTTGTACTCTACTTAGCATAACTTTTGTACAGGAAACAATTGTTTTATATTTGGAATGTGTTGAACAACACAGATTTATCATTATCTTTGTGCTTTAAGTTTGGATTACCAATATTTTCAGGTGGTGTGGGGTAACCCAAGCTTCCTGGATGGCTCATAAACACATTATGATAAGCAGTGTGTTTTCATACTGAAAATGCTCTTCATTCCATACAAGTGCTTGCCCTGCAGGTTTCCAGCCCACACTTCTCCCCCAGGCTCTCTGAGAGGCCTGTGTTGGGAAAGCTTCTCACTGATTTTGCTTTGCTCCTTCTTCATCAGACCCTGCTGCTCCTTCTCCATCTTCTTTGCTGCTCTGTGCTGTCTTCTCTGCTTGTGATTTCTGCTTCCTCAGAACTGCTGCTCTCCAGGCTGCATCTCCTTCCCTTCCCAGGCATTGGTGTGTTCCTGCCAGGTATGTAAGTCACAAGATTCTCAAGACTGAGGAATAAAAGGTTTTTCGAGACAGGGTTTCTCTGTATTGTTTTCGAGGCTGTCGGTCCAGCCTGGCCTCGAACTCACAGAGATCCGCCTGCCTCTGCCTCCCAAGTGCTGGGATTAAAGGCGTGTGCCACCACCAAGCGGCAAAGGTACACTCTTGTAACCACTAACCTACTGGGAAACCTGTGCTACCATCTAGGAAATGAAAATTAAATGGCTCTCTCTTGCTAGAGATCATTTCATTATAGCTGGTGTGCTGTCCTTTAAAGAGTCAATTCTCAGTTGTTCTGTAGAATTCTGTTGCTTTCTCACATCCCCATTTCTCCTTCAACCTTTACACTTGTGGGTGCATCTTCATGCCAGGGAGTCCAGGGCTCCACGGATTGACTGCTTCCTCTACAAATTCCTCATGTAGGAGTGAGAATACTGTTGCTAGGCATGTACAGATTTTAAATAACGGAAACTGAATGATGGCCATGCTAAGAGTCAAAACCTGGCCGCCACTCCCACTCCCTGAGAGTCTTGCCCAGGGGGTTCTCCCCTCCCCTTTGCTCTCTCCCTCATGACAGACTCTTGGGGAGCCAGCTACTGCAGCTAGAGCAGCCTCAAGAGAGGCCCAGACAAGTAGGAAAGGAATCCTAGGGACAGTCAGCAAGAACCTGAGCTCTTTCCAGCTGCCACTTGAGGATGCCACGTCTCATGTGAGCCCCGATCTAAAGAACGCAGTATTGAGTTCATTTGATTTCTATTGTAAGTATTCGGGACAAAGTCGTAGTGCCCCGGGCTGTCCAGGAAGCCCAGGGCTGTGGGCCTTCACTTCTCCAGCGCCTAACCAATGCCAGTTCCTGCTGCCAGAACACTGAAGAAAAACTATGCAGTGCTCTCCTTCCTTGGCTGGTGTAGTCCTGGACAATGATTGGTGGGTTGGTCATTGTGAACCGCCCCGCGTGGGTGGAACGTTACTGCGGAGCCACTGAGCATTGGTTATAGAGCCTGCACAGACTTAGAGGAGCCCCAGATCTCCTAATGGTAGGCAGCCTTCCTTGCTTGTTCTCCTTGATGGCGGCCTCCGGAACCCTGATTCAAGCCCGCGCAGGTAAGTGCGGGGTGGGAAGGAAACCTGCTCTTATGGGAGGACGGGCACACAGGAAGCAGTGGCCCTCATCGCCCAGCAAAATCCCCCCCGCCCCTTTCTCCATGCTGGTCCAGAACCCGGAGCCCTGCTCCCCTCCAGGCCCGCTCATCTGCCCGAGGTCCCGAAAGGAGGGTCCCGAAAGGAGGATCAGGGTCTCTCGCGGACTACACGCCGCCCCCAGGCTCGAACTCGCTGCGGTATTTCCACTCGGCCGTGTCCCGGCCCGGCCTCGGGGAGCCCTGGTACATAGAAGTCGGCTATGTGGACTGCACGGAGTTCGTGCTCTTCGACAGCAACAGCGACACGGAGAATCCGAGGATGGAGCCATGGGCGCCATGGATGGAGCAGGAGGAGCCCGATTATTGGGAGAGGGAGACAGGGAAAGCCAAGGTCAACTAGCAGACATTTCTAAGGAACCTACGTTCCCTGACAGCCTACGACAAGCAGAGTCACAAGGGTGAGTAATTTCGGGTCTGAAATCAGGAACCCTCCAAGTCCCCAGGGTCAGGCCCCAATAGCCCAAGGTGCCAGGTCCCAGGTTCTGCCCAAGAAGCAGACTGGGAACTGGTTTCCTGTAAGTTTACAGGAGGTCATGGGTGATGGGCGCATGATGCCCAGCTGACCACGGAGAGATGATTTCTCTTTAAAGCAGAGGCCCTGGCCTGCAAGCACCACACAGACACTAGGCTCCTTTGTCCACCTGCAGGGGGCGCTCACACTGCCAAGCCTGGTGCTCGGGAATCTCCCCTGTAAATAGAGACTTTGCTCATCACTCAGGATCCAGTCTTCACAGCCCTGTGCTTACACTCAGACTCCTAGTGTTTCCTCCCAGATGACCGTCTGTGGCTCCAGGTGGTTGTGTTTTACACGGATCTTCTCTCCATAGTCCTGAGATTGTCTGTGTGGACCTGGGTCATCATCTCAGCACAGTGGAACCCCTTCCCCACTGGGACAAAGATCTGGTGGAGACAGAGTACAGTATCACAGCAATCCCTGTCTACACTGCACATTTCCCCGAGTCCACACACTTCCAGGGTACTTCCATGGTTATTTAGTGAATAAACCCCAGTAAGAGAGGAACTGTAACTAAATGTAACTATCCAGACTTATGAGACCCTGGACCTTGTAACCGTGGCTCCTGGGTTCCTCAGCCTCTGTAGTGTGGACACTGGACAGAGGGTGATTCTCACCGCAGAGGTACACACTGGGGATTCTAGTAGTGTGGAGAAAAATCTAATTTATAATTTTTTCGTTTCTGTGGATTGTGATTGATGTCTCCAAACCCCAGCCACACATAACTGAAGTAGAAAGTGAAAGCAGAGGAGGGTAGAGAGTCCTTCCTGCAAGGAGTCACGCATGACACAGTGTGTCCAAAGGGCTTGACCAGAGCTGTGAAAACTCCAGTCACCTCCCATGTGGGTGTCCACGGCGGCCCCACGCACTCACCAGGACTGTGACAGCGTCTGTTTCCCTGAACATTCATTTTAATGCTGCCTGTGTTTCACCCGCAAACGTCATGCTCTTAGGTTTCATCCTGAACTGAGGAGCAGGTGGCCTTGGGTGGCCCAGAGACCCCGGGACAAGCGCGCTCTGTCCCCAGCTCAGGGTCAGACAAAGTCTTGGTCCCGGGCGGTGAGGTCCGGGTGGAGAAGCCCAGTGCTGGTGATTCCCCTGTTCCAGTTACACTTCTCCAGCTCCTGACCTGTGTCAGCTCCTT